CATCGGAGGTTTTGGGCTTAGGGTTTGGATGTCGTTATGTCTCGATGGTTCCCAGTAGCAAAAGCCTTCAATACGGAGTTTGATTTGGCAAGAACTTATATTCTTGAACGATAGATCACCACCTTGGTAGGTCCATATACTCGTTCTGCAAGAGATTTGTAGGCTTCGTGTAAACTATAAGGACGCATGTCCAGTTTTTACTATTAGGGTTTAGGGTTTGGGGGTTTAACAAGGGGTTTAGGGTTTAGGGGTTTAGGGGAATGAACAAGTTCAGTGCCGTGATGTTCTTCTCACTGCAGGAGCGCCGCACGGGCACGTCGCCTACGGCTGTGCCCCAGTGCTGCAGCCAAGGGTTCAGTTTTAAGAAATTTAATACATGGTTCCATACGGGTTCGAACATGTTTAACCGTCTTCCCGGAGAGTTCAAGTTCCGTCTTAGGTTTGCAACTGGTACAGAGAACCTGTCAAACCTAAGTCATAGTCTTCAGACCCCTAGCTTTATGGATTCAGGTCTAACGGTTTGAAATGGAGGGTTTCGGGTTTAGGAAATCAACTTCGTTTTTTGTTGTTGAACTTGTTCTCGAGGCATATGTAGATCTCAGCTTTTACAGATGCAAACCCTTTACACTAACTTGAAAAGTCGGAGACCTATACCCTTTGCAGACCCGATTACATCTGATTACATCAGCCGGACCCGTTTAATGGGTTTCGGGTACAGGGTCTCGGGTTTAGGGTTCCCCAGGTACTGCCAGTCTCTACATCGATGGGGCTTCGCCGGATACGACATACCTTTCTTGGAAGGCACTTGGAGGGTCGGGGGACTTAGTAAGTAGTTATTTTATAGACTTATAAGTTTCATAACCCCAATTAGAGCCCCTGTTCGGTTACTTACAAGTCCCGCGACCCTCCAAGCAGGAACCAACATCCGCCCCCCCACTCTGTCGGCTGAGTCGGTGCACATGTTCAGGCTCTGGGCTAGTGATTGAGTCTTGTGCTTTTTCGGTCTCTAAGGTTAGTAGTATGCTAGGGGCCCATGGTTTCAAGCTTAGACGGTCGCTGACTCTTTTATAGGGATCCGTTAACAAAAAATGCGCTTATCTTCTATGGTGATGTGAGTAAACATGTGCCAACCCGAAAACCCTCCGACGTAATATATCTTAACAGATTCCTGTTGTAGTCTCAATGTACCTCTAACTCGTATCTACCCTAACAGCCCATTGCCGTGAAGCCCTACAGCTCACTCTTAAACACAAACCAAGATCCCAAAGCCCTAAATCCTAAACTACACCCTTTACTGTAAAGCTCCAAAGCCTAACAGTGAACCCCGACAAATTTGGAACATGGATTCAGGATGGTTGCTGCTGGGATTCCCCAGACTCGACCTTACAGGCATGAGGATAGTTATTGACGCTCCGATTTTCTGGATTCTACCTTTAGTCCTAAAGTCCTAAAGTGCCCTATCGCACCCTGAGTTCCTACAGCCATCTCGGAACTTTGAACCATATTGCCTCAAATTTCTACCCCAAACCCTAAACCCTA